TTTCAAAAGATGTGAGTGACAATGTGATTAGATGATTTATCAGCCAATGCTAAAAGCATTTTCTGTAGCGGTAAGGCACGTGTAGCCCGTATTTTTTGTACATTTTGTAAATTCAACCTGATAAATATCGGCTCATTGACAGGAAATTATGCTGATTTAAATATTTTGGGTGTATACTGTGGTCGATTATACCTCATCTCGTACAAAGTATTTTTGAAAAATATGTTTTATTATCAAAACGTTATACATGTACATATATAATTAAATAAACTTGGTATTACATTTTATATACACTCTCACTCATTTATTTAAAAAAATATATGATGAGCATTTTTTAAATAAAAGAAATTAATTCATTACTAAGCTTTGTTGAAATGGTGTTTAGTAATGATACATTAAATGTGCCAAGTAAAAAAGAACAAGGAATCAACAAAACATTTTTTCAATACAAGAACTAACTTATTAGAATTCTGCTAATTAAAAAAAAAAAAAAAACAAGTACATCAGCAAGATTTGATAGCTGGCATGTTTGGCTGGAGCAAAAGACTTTACCCGCGCAGCCAACGTCGATCGTACCTACTCAGCACACGATGTCATATTTAAGTTTTAGAAAGGGGGCGAGGCTTAGGTTAAAGTATAGGTAGAAAGTATAAGGTATAGGTAGAGGAAGCTCCCCACTTGGGCTTCTTGAGTATGAGAGAGGGTGACTGTGCACTGCGCATGCTGGGAACTCCTGAAAATCTGGGAGCCTTGATCGAAAGAGACGTTTCTATTCAATTTGATTATCACTTGGGTGTGCCTTAGACGATCGTTGCATCCTGTAAATAGTAGCCAAAAAGACGGGTCGTCGAGGAGATCTTTGCTAGGGCTCACATGAAAGACTAACACATTTGGGAAAAAAGAAGGGCAACTACGAAAAAAAAAGTTAACAAAAAAAAAAGTTGTGGAGGTTTAAAGATTGAGGATTTGTTAAATCTCTGTTTATGAGTATCCGTTAAATCTCAACACTATACCATTCTGTACTTTATATTTTAAAACAAGTATTACGATAACTTTACAGAAAGTTATCCTGCAAACTGTTTACAATCTATGATTCATGTATAAATAATTTTGTAGTTAAAGAATACACGAATTCAAAAACTAACGATCTGACAAGTTTAGAGGAAAAGTTGCCAAAAAATCAACAAATGAAAAATACTTAAAAGCTATAGTATATTTTGCATCAAGGAAGTGAAGTATGCCATCCCCTCTTAGTGTGTAGTTGGCGTCCGAGTGTAGCGAAGGTGCCACTCGTCAAATGGAATGGCATGATTTGCTTTCGTGTAGCGTATACGATTTTTCACTATATCTAGCTGAAAGTTCGTTCAATATTTTATAACACTACAAAAAAAGTAAGCCTGCCACGTCACCAATGATACCTATAGCGGCGTGCTCGTACTTATGGTGCTGTTGCTCACCTGCTGTAGGTGCGCGGTGAGCCCATATCGCACGGACAATGGGTTGCCAAAATTGTTGATGCGCAGTAGAATCGGATAGTCGTACAGCGACTGCACAGCGGTGCACCGTCGTACTAGTGCTGCTGCCTGCATGTTTTAAGAGTGCTGTGCTGTTATAGTCTTTATATGAAAACTCACGGCAGTATATATATACCAACTCGTTGGTTTTGGTCAAATGTTTTTTGAGTTGTGTTTTTAGTAATAATTATAAAGAATTCTCAATTATTTTAATTTTTTTGTAAAATAGACAATATGTCTGTTTAGAGGCTAACAATCTTTGGTATAATCTTTTGAAATTTCTGTGATCGATTGCATGCATTTCAAATTAATTATACTGTTACTTTCAACATAAGATTCATTTTCACTACAACTATCTCAAACTGATATTTATGATCATTAATTTTTTTCTTCTTTAGCACTTCCATTACCACTATCTATTTCTTACATTCAATTTTACACTAAATTACTTTCAACATTATCTTCCACCACATGAATTTTATTAGTTACTACAGTTTTACCATTTTTATTTTCATTATCTATTTCTCTACTTCTTTTTCTAATGTATGTCATACATAATGAATGCCTATTCATACGTTTATTTATTCGCTTATCTATTTCATACACCAATTTAATACTTATAATGATATGTTTTTCCTGTTAATTTCCGTAGCTATGTATACTATACGGAACACCTACGGTCGGGTACGGGCATTACATGGGTACCGTATACTGGTCGTACACGTACCTGATCACATGCCTCATAAGAGCCAGAAGTATTAAGTCTGGGGTACTGTCAACGGGCCGCATGGTAGTCTCCGGCGAATCGAAAATGCATGGTTCGGTTATCATAAGGTTTGACAAATTACCATTTAATTTCGTGGTATCATAAGTACTTTTAGTTCTAGGAAGTTGTTGACCTTCAACACTTATTACGTGGTCTTGACCTTTGTAGCAACGCAAAATCTATAGAAGATTTTGGTAGAAAAACTTTTGGAAAAACCACAGATTCAATTAAGGACTAGATTATCACCTAAAATTAAAATACATTCAAAATGCACTTTGTAATCGTTGCCATCAATGCAATAGACGGGTAGAGAAAGCATCAAAACATCAAAAATTTGTCAATAAGGAATTTTCTGTGACTCCGACAAAAATTGTTGGAATTGCTACGTATTGTGATCTGAATACATGGAAAAATAGTTTTAGGGCATTGTCGTAACGCCTTTTTTTGTTATTAAAAAGATAGTAAAAATTGACTAGATTTTTTCTTCAAATTTCTCTGATAATTTTTTTTTGGGCATGGTATCGCAATAACAGCCAAAACAATTTGTTCGCTATTTAAATATCTATCGATCGGTGCTGGTTAGATTATCTAAAATTGATTTTTCCCGATGATGTAAATATAGTAAAAAATGTAAACATCGCCATTAAAAAATTTAATTTTGCAACATTATTAACCTTTACATTTTTAATGAAAATTCCTTAAGATTTAGAATTCAATACCTCTTATAGGGAACATTAAAAACGACGTCAGAAAACGATAAATATTTTTAAAACTTGAATTGGCTGTCCTAAACCTCACAGTATAGTTGGATTAAATTTTCCAAGTACATTTTCGTATGCAAACTGGAAATATTAATACATGAAAAAAAATATTTTTTTAATTTTGATCCCAATTTTTTATAAAATTCTATTTTGCAACATAAACAAATCGACATGAGTCTGACGTTTTATAATTTACCGTGTTACAACCATTTTTACTTGATAGAGTACATTTTGACGCGAATTAAAAATTATTACGATAACGTTTTTTCAATAAAAGTTATTAACAGTTCAGTGTTTATTAAGATTGCTTGAATTTTAATTTTAAAAAATTTTTTCTACTTCTGCAGGGTATTTCTTGTTGATTTTTAAAAGTTAATAGTTTTATATACATTATCAATAAAAAAAATGTTGCATAATTGAATTTTATAAAAAGTTGGGGTCAAAATCATCTAAAAAACAATGTCCTGTAATAATCCAAAGTTTTATGTGACATATGCCATTACAAATATCTCTTTAAATTTTTATAAACAGTCAATAGAAGATCCTATGTGTTATAGATGATCTTAAAATCATATTTATTGGCATTCCCTTTTTTTTAAATTAAGATTTAAAAGTTTAGAGAAGTTAAACTACTGTTTACAGGAAATATAACCACAACAATATTCAAGCACTGACAACCTAAACCAATTATAACTATAATATGTTTTGCTGACTGGGTGTAGAGTGCTTGCGTAGTTTCTATAGATAGGTCTGAACTCATGCATACATTTAGAAAAGTGGTGTTAGAAAAAGTATTATAACTATAGTAAAAATTGCTATATTTTTCTGAAACATAATCACCGTATAATAAAAATCACTATTTTATATGGTAAAATCGTATTATATTAAAATTTGCTATTCAAAATAGTGATTTTTACTTTGTTCTGAAATAATTTTTATAATTAAGAAAGAAAAAAATATACATTCATATTATTTATGCGCAGGAAATATGTAACTAACGGAAGATTAAGACCGAAGATACAAGATTAATTTTCAACCCTTATAAATAAAAAAATATGTTTCTCGTAATTTTTATATTAGTATAACCTCAAATTTTAAACTTAACAGGCATGTATACTTATAGAGGATCTACTATCTCACTGAATTGACGAAAACGTCGTATGAAATTACTTTCGAACATGGTAATTTTTACTATACTGAATAGCAATGCAGTGAAATTAGAAATTTTACTATATCACATAGAAAATTCTGCTTCATAATGTGGGACATTTTAATACGATTGCAAAAAAAATTTATTGTGTTGTATGGTAAGAATTAAGCTATCATGATTTTTACTGCGTTAGACATAGTGATTTTTTATTATGCTGTATAACTACTTTTGTAGGGCTGCTACATAATAACTATTTAAAATATAAAAAGAATTACTACAATCGTAATTATTTGCATTATCAGATGAGTATATCTCAGCTTTCCTAAAATATATAATTAATAACACTTTTTCTAACACCTCTTTTTTGAGTGCATACGTAGGACTGTGCGATAAATTCTTCATGTTATTACGATCAGCGTCTTGAACAAAATACATATACATAGTCAACGGACACAGTACAACATTCCCTCGTATAATATGTCATTGGCATCCACACGGTAAACAAGATCCACCTTGACATAATAATCTTGGCCCAAGTTAAGAAACAATTCATCAATGTCAATTTAAAAAAATGATAAGAACATTTGGTTGCTTAATGGCATAACAATTTATCAAAATGAATAAGTAAATATATTTGTAAAAAAAGTTATTCACAAGCAACTTCAAGCCCTGTGGTAGCTAATTTTGAAAAGAGTCACCAAAAAGTGAGCCTTAGATCTTTTTTTATTATTGACACGAATGAATACTCGTTGCATGAGTAAATTTTTCTTTCTAAAAAAATTAGGAAAAATTAAAAAATTTTCACTTACCAACATGAGTCATAAAACAGGCGGACCTCACAGGCGTGGATCCGGAGTCAGAAACTGCGTTGACCTTAGCCCCATGCTTTATCAGACACTTAAGGACAGGAAGCTTTCCTGATACAGCAGCACACCAGAGTGGCGTCACACAATGCACCGATCTGTCATCCGGAACCTCATAAATGCCCCTTTGTTCAATATTCGCATGACAAACTGTGATAAGGTACTCGACTATTTCAACATGGCCACGCTTACAAGCAATGAATAGTGGGGCACAGCCGTCTTTTGTCCGACTCACGAGCTCCTTTAACTCATCTGCCTTATATTTCTCAAGACGACTGCGCAAAAGATATGATAGCTGAGCACCTGGTGCTACGTGCTTTATGTTCTGGACGAGATCGTTAAATAGCGTGTCCATAGATAGAGAGAAGTGCTCTCGGTTTGGTATCCACATCGTAGTCCAGCGCCAGCAGGTTTGCTTAGCTTTGACTTCTCTCTGGAATGTGTAAAGTAACTTCTATTACTTTTATTTATAAGAATTTCCGTTAATACTACTTTTTTGTAGAATAAGGAATTAACAATGCTGTCAAAGAAAATTCATATGAAGTCCTTAAAAGTAACTTAAAATTAGTTATTTATTTTGAAAATTGTACTCTAAAAATTATTTTTACAACTAGAATTTACTGATAGCTAGATGTTGGTAAAGAAAAAATTATAATAAGTATTGATGGACTTATCTTAAAAAAATTTATAACTGTGATAAAAAATGTTATTTTATAAANTCCGGACTTTCTTGAACATGGTCCTACCGGATATCGGGACCGCGTCTACCATGCACTCACAGCTGTCGTTCCTTTGTCCATCGTACGGACAGGTGGGAGGATTCCGTAGGCTAATACCGACAGAACAAAATCAACAATAGGAAAAAAAAAAAAAAAAAAAAATTACAGAAATTTTTCAATACTTTTCACATTAAATTATTTTTGCAGAATGATTCAGGAACAGTAATATATTTGGTCACATTTTTTAAATAAAATGCAGATCTACATTTTTTAGGATATGCATTTACAAGATATTGACATCCTCATTATAATTGCCCAACAAAAAATTCTCGGCTTTTTTCCTAAACATATCTCTTTCATCACATACGTAAGCATGTATTAGTATTCAAAAAATTCTCGGATAAAAATTACGTTGTCGCTGTAGCCTTGCAATTTGATTGCTTTATTAATATTGTGAGCAAAGTAATATTCAAAATATGTGAAACTGAAGATCACAGCACTTTTTAAGACCGTTACTATTATCATACATAGTTGAGTATGAATATGTCAAGGACAACTTAAAAAATTTTTCTACCAGAATACGAATAGATTTTAGGAGCTAGAACTTCTTAAATTGTCATCGTATTAACTCTAAATTTTGTGCGGTAGTGAAGAATGCTCTCATCAAGTATACGTGAATTAACATTTTGCTGATTTTAAATTTGAATAAATAGATAAAAGGTATACTCTACTGATAAAGTAATTTTAAGTAAGCTTATATAATCAAATGAAATCTTTTGGATCCCGTAATTAAGAAAAATACTTTCATATTCATCTGTGAATGCACAAAGTTAATAGTTTTAGTGCTTCTTTTACCAGTAATTTTTGGTAAAAGAAAAAAGAACTGTCACTTCAATGAAAGATCACTATAGCAAAACAATGAAAATGTTACAACGTGATACGATGAAAAAAAAAAAAAAAAAAAAAAAAAAGATTATAGAACAAGTTACACTGCGCAAAGATTTATAATTAATCTCACTTTACTTTGGGAAGAAAGAAAGAAAAAGTAAACAACAAAAATAACAACAGCGAGAGTGAAGAAAGCGAAAAAAAAGATAAAAAAAATAGGAAGATGAAGAAAAGAAAATAAAATGTACAAAATAAGTAGAATTTAGAAAGGTGTAAATATAAAGGGTAAAAAACTAGAGTATGGGTTCATTTTCACGTCGTACGTATTGTGAGCGCAAAACTTCTACTTATTCTGTGCTCTTGATGAAAAGGTAATAGTATTTAATGTATATGTGCACATGTATATGTATATAAACAGGTTTATAAGTAGAGATCACACGCGCTTGTCCCTTGCCATCGGCTGCTGCAACTAGACTGCCAAGCACGGTCTCACTCTTGACAACGACTGCAACTCTTCCGAGTTCCAATTAATAAAATTGACCTTGAGCTATTGCGAGTTGATAAATGATGAAGTGAAATTAAAAGTGCAAGAAATAGCAAGTGAGTGCATTATACCCAAAAATTGATCGAACAAGTATATATCTTGATCACTTTTTTCCCTTCTTTAAGATCAAGATACTCTATGAGTGTCTGATAAGATTGGTTTTAAGAATGAATAATTTTTCGTAAATTTTTGTAACAGAATTGAAAATGAGCTGTCCCACACTGAAAAAAAATTAACTCGAATCGAGAAAACCCGTTTACTTAAAATGCATTTATTAGAACTAAAAAACTTTTTACTCTCGTATAATATGTCATTGGCATCCACACGGTAAACAAGATCCACCTTGACATAATAATCTTGGCCCAAGTTAAGAAACAATTCATCAATGTCAATTTAAAAAAATGATAAGAACATTTGGTTGCTTAATGGCATAACAATTTATCAAAATGAATAAGTAAATATATTTGTAAAAAAAGTTATTCACAAGCAACTTCAAGCCCTGTGGTAGCTAATTTTGAAAAGAGTCACCAAAAAGTGAGCCTTAGATCTTTTTTTATTATTGACACGAATGAATACTCGTTGCATGAGTAAATTTTTCTTTCTAAAAAAATTAGGAAAAATTAAAAAATTTTCACTTACCAACNTTTAAGTTTTATAAGATAATTTTTTTATTATTATACATAGTGAATGAATATGGACTACATCTTGCATGGACATAATGATAAGACATAATGATGGATATGATAGGACAAATACGATTTTGCTTCTAGCTAAAATCTGTACTTGACACATCTATTGTTGGAAGTATGAAAAATAAGAAATCGATAGAAAAAAAAAAGAATGGAACTTATTTCGTTTCTGAATTCATCAGTATGGTGTGCTAGTGATCTTAGCCATACAAAAACGCGACTAATACTTCATCTTATACGCTTAGATATTATGCGATAGCAAGATTAATAAATCGTGTCAAAAGGTACTGTAGAAAAGGAAACGAGAGGAGGTACGTATTGTCACCAAAAATCTTGTATCAGCTTTGTATTAACTGATTAATCAATTAATGAATTTATCAATTTGGTGTTAAACATGATGATAACTTTTTCAAATGAAACTGAGGGAGTAAAATTATTTGATTATTACAAGATTATCGCTGTTTTTTCTTTAAGGATTAATTTTTTTTAATGCATCGAGTCTCGGGTAACTTGTCGTAAGAAAGCTTTATGCTTGAATAGTTCGAATCAAATATTTTCTAGGAATTAGAATACGCGTCCACTTACATTAAAACAATACAAGTAAGAACACAGTACTATAATTACTTATAATTTAGTAAATATTTACTTGTTTTTTAAAAGTGTAATAACTTTTGTCTTACACAATGAATGTACCTGAATCTAACACAATTTTTCGGCTCTCCGTAACATTTCAAACTTGCCCAAATTTTAACATTTTTTTAAAAGCAGTATTGTATGTCATTTTTACAGAACACGTTTCAATAAAAACATATTTTTAGACTTGACTTTCTGTTAGAGAAGTTTTCAATTTCTTCATAGTAAGTCAAAAATTTTTAGAGAAGTTACATCGTGAATGGAACAATCTGAGTCAGAAACAGGTAAATATTCTTTTGTTTTAAAAACATAAATTTGTTTTCAACATACGTTTGTCGCCTTCAAAAAATGTATGTTTTATAATCGACATTATAATATATATGTATATATATTTAAATTGAGAAAACATTTTAATTCATTTACACAATTACTATAAAGTAGTCAATATATTCTACTCACTAGAGAAACTTTCTTCGAGGTGTGAATACGTTTTATTCGTTAAAAAAACATGTACTCGAAACACTACGATATTTTCTAAAAATATATTAACTTTTTTTAACAAGTTAATATTTCTTTGTTGCAAAAAAATATCGCTTTGAATACAGCATAAGTCGGTTATACTTGGAAAACATCTACTTGTTATTGAAAACTTTTTGAAGTGAAACTTCTTATGGCACGTTGTGAATTTTTTCGAGCGACACGAAATTTCTGAGCCCCCCACCACTCCATCCGCTCTCTCTCTCTCTCCGCGTCCCCCTTGCCACCACATGCTATACTAGCAGTGCATCCCTACCCCTCCAGCCGCTCTCTCTCTCTCTCTGCCTCGTCCCCCTTGCCACCAGAGCAGTGCATATATGCGTAGAGTGGGACGTGGGACGGCCTTTCTCTCTGCCTCGCTCCCCTTGCTACTACATGCTCAAATTTTTACGTATATATATATGTGTGTGTGTGTGTGTGTGTGTGTGTGTGTGTGTGTGTGTGTGTGTGTGTGTGTGTGTGTGTGTGTGTGTGTGTGTGTGTGTGTGTGTGTGTGTGTGTGTGTGTGTGTGTGTGTGTGTGTGTGTNAAAATTATAGTATACCTTGAAAATTAATAGAGATGTCCACAAATTAATTTAAAGTGTTGTTATAACAATATAACCTCATAAAATAAGAAAAATCGTCATATCTCGACGGAGAAGCAAAATAGGCCAAAAATACCGATTTTTTACGGGCATCCTATAGGGGAAGTAAAATATCAAGACGCACAAATAGGGGTGTCATTTGTTGTCATTACATAACCTCAAATTCGTATTTTCGCTCTATCTTTATGAAATTGGAGTTATAAATTGCGAATAAATTACAGTATACTTTAAACATTAATGCAGATGTGAGCGAAGAAATTTAAAGTTTTTCACGACAACAAAACCTCAAAAAATTAGAAAAAACACCACATCTCGAAGGAGAAGCAAAATAGGCCAAAAATACCGGTTTCTTACGGGTATCCTAAAGGGGAAATAAAATATTGAGACGCACAAATTGAGGTGACATTTGTTATAATTACATAACCTTAAATTCGTATTTGCGGTCTATCTTCATGAAATTGGAGTTATAAATTACGAAAAAATTGCAGTATACTTTAAACATTAATGCAGATGTGCGTGAAGAAATTTAAAGTGTTTTTATGACAACATAACCTCAAAAAATTAGAAAAAACACCACATTTCGAAGGAGAAGCAACATAAGTCGAAAATACCAATTTTTATGGGTTTACTAATGGGGAAAAAACAATCGAAGTGTACAATTCGGTTTGATGAAAACATGATTTTCAGCCATTTCAAATACGAAAATTTTTTTACTTGTTTAATGTTATTGAAAGAAATTTACTTATTTAACTCGCAGCAATAACACATATGATTGCTTCTCATATAATTTTCTGTATAAAATGAGTTCAATATTTGATACTTGAAGTTTCACTTCTAT